TTAGCATATAAACTAGAGTTCTATAGCCCCAATTTAACATATAAACTAGGGTTATGTAGCCCCATTTGCCATCCTGTGCCCAGTAGCAGGATCATAAATGGCAATAATCTTCTGGTGTCAAAAAACCCCAAGTTTTTGACCTCCTAGATTAAGTTTCTAATGGACCACTTCCCCCCTCCTCTTGGCCCTAGATTCTCATACAAGAGGATCTCTAGGTCTTTTCCAGAGACAAATAGCCACCCAATTATAGCATCTCTCTGATCTCTCTGGTGGGGAAGGTACTACACACACACACACATCATCATCATCACTTAATTAAAATAGATTGACTTAACACATAGTTCACATGATTTTCACCATTAGGGTAGGAGTGAGGTAGAGCTCTCTAAGATTATTAAAGGAAACCAAACTAAGTGATAGACCAACATTTTGGTTAGCATAGGTTACACAGTTTAAATGAACAAAATCAAACTAATATCACCAAAATAAACTTTATAAGCAAGATAAAAAAAATGTATAAATGAAATTTTATTATCAAGAGTCTGGATAACCTTAGGAGTTACTGTTATCAAACATGTAGCAAAAACCAAGCTGAGCACTATATATGTGGCTAGAAGTAAGGGGTAGCAATGCGTTACAGTATAAGAACTATCTTAGAGTATAAAAGAGTCCATGTGTCCTGGTGGTAAGTTTATCTTCCACTGTACATTGATGAGCCAGCCCCTGAGTGGCTGAGGCAGGACTATTTTTTTCTCCAGCTTTAGCCATGAGCAGGCTGGTGAGCTAGAGTGACTAGAGCAGGGCTGTTGTCTTTCTGATTCTCAAGCTTCTCTGGTGCTTCCTTCCTCCAGATGGGCAGCTTCAAGGGTATAGTGGGCTCTGAAATGCACTTCCAGTTCGCAGCTGTGAGCTTGAGCCTGGTATAATAAATCAAGGGACCTATTTCTGTAACTTTCACTGTAGTTGAGGTGGATAAAATAACAGTGAAAGAATCCTTCCAAAGAGGTTTGAAGTTAAAGGTTGAATATTCCGTTCTTTGACCCATACTGAATCTCCAGGCTTGAATGAGTGCTCTTCTGTGATCCAACTTACTGACAATCTTTCTCTGGTCCATTGGTTGTATCTATAAGTTTTCCCCTAAAGCCTGAAGCTGTTTACTCAATGTTAATTTTCCTATTTTTCTTAACTCTCCCTGTAATCTCTTGATTAGTGGGGGAGGTCTCATCTCATAGGAAAGAATCTAGTCCCCTATAGTGGGAGTAGATCTAATCCTTAACAATGCAATGGGGAGGATTTTATCCCAATGCAGGTGAATTTCCTGACATAGTTCACCCAATTGAGCTTTTAAAGACCTATTTATTCTTTCTACTTTACCAGAACTCTGTGGCCTAGAGGTAGTTTAAATCTCATACTTAAACCTGTGGCCAATAATTGTATCACCTCTGCCACAAAAGCTGCCCTGTTGTCTGAGTCAATGGTTATTGGAATGTCAACTATTGGAATAATTTCCCAGAGGAGTATCTTGGCTACCCCTTGAGACTTTTTAGTGTGAATTGGAAAGGCTTCCACCTAGCCAGAATAAAAGTACACAAAAACTGAAAAGATATTTATAGCCTTGTGAGTGTGGGAGTTCAGTAAAGTTTACTTCCAGGTATTCAAAAGGTGTTCCTCCTATAGTTTGGATTCCCAGTGGAATCCTTGGCCCCTGGGATGGGTTATTGTGGGTGCAAGTTTTGCACTGTTCAAAGATCGAGTGGGAAATGCTTCTGAGTGTGGGGACATACAATGCTGACTTAAAACAGTCCAAAGTGCCATTTAGCCAGGGAGCCTTGTGTGATCCCCTGTGGAACTGTCTGATGAAGGCAGGGACTAGAGTTTTAGGGATGGCTATTTGGCCATCAGAACATCTCCATTATCCTGTTCTGTCTGCTTTTTTTGTTAGCCGCAAATTTTGGTTCTAGTCTGCTCTTTAGTTGCCCTTAGCAAACACAGTGTTCTCCTTTTGGTGGCCCCGGCAATGTATAACTGCAACGTTTCTTCAGTGCTCATAGTACATCTAGAAGATTAAGAATTTCCTGTCCATGTTTTATGCCTTTTCCTCCTAAGTTAATTAGCCTCCTTTCCTCATATAAGTTCTTGTGAACATGAAGAGTGGGAAAGGTGTATTTTTGAGTCTGTGTAAATATTGACACAGATTTTTGGTTGCCAATTGGAGTGCTTAGGTCAAAGAGATAAGTTCTGCCTTTTGTGCTGAGGTTCCCTGAGGCAGTGGCTTTGCCTCAATGGTAGAGTGCAGAGTGACCACTGTATACCTAGCAAGATATTTTCTGTCATCTATGCAACTGCTTTCATCTATAAAATACCCCACATCAGGGTCCTTGAGAGATTCAGCCACATCCAGTCTACTAGAGATCAATTTATGACCTCAATGCAATGTGATCAAGCAGTCAAGTCCTGATGGGCAGCAGAGTTATTAGCTTAGAGTCCAGACAACTTCAATGTGGACATGTGGATTTTCATATGACATGCCCTGGTATCTGATCATCCTCACATTAGTCAGCCAATATTGTCCTTTGTACACTAACAGTGCCAGTACAGAGTGTTAGTTCCTGCCCCATAGTCAGCTTGTCAGCCTCTAATACCAGAAGGGTCATAGCTGCAAAAACCAATAAACAAGGTGACCAGCCTTGAATACAAAGTCTAGCTGTTTAGAAAGATAAGTTACTGGACAGTGCTGTGTCCTCAGCATTGGAGTTAGGGCTCCTACAGCTATTTTACACCAGCTGTTTTAGCCAGCTTTTTCACTGCTGTGACCAAAGGACCCAATCAGCACAATGGTAGAGGAGAAAACCTTTATTCAAGGGCTCATGGTTTCAGAGGTCTTAATCCATAGAAGGTTGACTTCATTCCTCAGGGCTTGAGGTGAGACAGAACCTCATGACAGAAGAGTGTGGCATAGGGAACCAGCTCACATACTGATCAGGAAGCATAGAGAGAGAGAGAGACTGTACTCGCCAGATACAAAATATATACCCCATAGTCATGCCCCAATGAACCACTTACTCCAGCCACACCCTACCACTTCAGTTACCACTCAGTTAATCCCTATCAGGGGGTTAATTTATTGATGGGGTTAAGACTCTTATGACCTACTCATTACTCCTCTAAACCTTCTTGCATTGTCCCCTATGTGAGCTTTTAGGGGATACCTTACATCCAAACCATAACACCATGAATGGACATACATAGAGAAAGACTTTGAGAAGTCAGGGAGGCCTAGTCTAAATGCACTGGTGAATGCTTGTTTAACATCCTCAAAGCTGTTTATTGTGTTGGTTTCCACATTAGAGAATGCCGTTATCCCCTCTTTGCGGTCTCATAAAGGGGTTTGACCATAACTAAAAAGTTAGAGATCCATATACAGCAGAATTGGGCAGTGCCAAGAATTCAGATCTAGCAGCAGGTAGGAGCGACCAGAATTGAGCAGACTGTTTCCTCTTGGGGCTCAGTTGCCATTGTCCCTTAGTCAGATAGAAATCAAGGCACTTGACTTTTTTGACAGATTTGAGCTTTCTTCTTTGAGATTTTGTAGCCAGTTTCAAGTAGGAAAGAAAGAAGTGGTTATGTCCCCTTCATGCAATCTTAGGTTGCCATTGCCAGCAACAGATCATCTGTATATTAGAGCATTGTGCATCTACATCAGAGGTCAACATCCATATTGTTTTGCAGGAAAAGCTTTCAAATCAGAAGCCAGTGCTATCCCAAAGATTGCTGGCGATTTTTTGAAACCCTGTGGTAGTCTGGTCTGGCCTTCATTTGGGGGCATTCTTTGTTCCAGAGGCCCTCTAGATGGCAGTAGGCACATTGGCTTAGTCTCAGCCTTTTCTCTGGATAAGGTTGTCCTTCCATTCAGGACTTCCTTCAGTTTTTATATTTGTTCCGGCTTTGTCCTGGTGGGAACCCCTTTTGGGTGCCTTCTGGATTTGCCATGAGGGCAGCTGCAAGGAGATCCATCTTCTTTTTCATCTTTTGGTCGGCTTCTTGATGAATCTCTTGGTCTCAGTTGATGAAAACTGTGGTGGCCACTTTTCCACAAAGTCTTCTAGTTTTTGTAGCTTTTGGTGAATGTCTCTCGGGTTTTGTCCCAAAAAGGCTGGTTGTCTGGTGCCTCAGGATCAAAAGGAGTGAAGAGTCAGAAGGTCTTGCATAGTCATTCAGAGAACTGGTTGGGGATTTTATCAGGCTTTTGGAGTACTTCTGATATTTTGTTCATGTTTAGGGCTTTCCCTGTTCTTTTAGGCTGCCGATGAGGGCCTCTTGATATCTCTTCATCTTTAGGAGGTCTTCCCCTTTGTTGGGGTCCCACCCTGGGTCTGTGTCAGGGAACTGGGCCCAGGCAGAGGCTTGAATGTTGCCTTGTGTATCTGGAAAATGTTCCTTTAGTTATTTTAAAGCTTTTTGGATCATTTATCTGTGTTTCTCCATCAATCAAGTCGGGCTGGTGGGTCTGGATAATGGACTGCATCATATCAATCATAGCCTGGGGCTTCTCCATGTAGGAGGGAGTATGATTTTTTTCTGGCTCAAGAGATAATGGTGTTGAAAGGCTGCATGCAAAATTGCTTTGTCCCCCTCAGATGTTTCCCTCCTGGTGAACATGGACAGGGCCTCTAATCTCTTGTAGGGGCATCTGGAGAGCTCTCATCTGGGTATGGTTCTGGTCTTGGGACAAGTTTCCTGCCTTGCTGGTTGAAGGAGTCTTTGGCTCTGGGGAAGCCTCTGGCACTGAGGACATCCAGGAGGAAGGAATGGCTGATGTTGAGGGGCTACCATCTACTGCCTCTAGGGTTGAGGAGGTGGAGGAAATAGCCTGTTGCTTTGGTGGTCTTGGCATTGTTGGGTAGGGTGGCATGTAAGTTGATGGACATTGTGACATAGTTTCAGTGATAAAGGAGGGTCCAAGCTACCTGCTAGGCTGTGGCATCATCTTGAAATAGTAGTTTTTTTTTTTTTCCCTAAGGGATTGAAATTATGGCTAGGAAGGTATTAACATACTGGGCCCCCATCTTCCAGGTACTTGTCTGTTACATAAGACTCCCTGTGGCTTTTAGTAGCACTTCATTGTCTTTTCCCTGCTAACCATTCATGTCTGGACAGCTGCCTAAGAGAATGATTAGCAAAATAAGCCTCATGAGGTATACAGAGTGGGAATTAAGGCAACCAGGTTAGCTGCGATATAATTAGGGTAGGTAAATGACTTAAGTTCACAGAGAAAAGAAATAAAAACGAATGAAAGAAAGAAAAAATGTATATCAGATCATGTAAAGAGCAAAATTTATTTGAAATTTGTCCTCATTGTAAAAATAAGACAATGCCTATGAGAAATATGTAAGTCCACAATAATGTACAAAACTATAAAAGTATAAGAACATAAAATTATGGTATAAGAAAACTCAATTGAAAAGAAATCAAAGTATACAGTCTTTAAAATGAATTTTTAAGATGTATTCATTCAGTGGCTTGCTAGAGGGTCTGATTTGGGAATACCCTTAGATATCAATTTCCTCATTCAAACTTTGCCATTTTGTATTAGTTAAGACTGATAGTAACATTTTACTTGGCAAAGATTTCAGCTCAAGTATTTAAAGGTCAAGGGTCAGGGATTTTGGAAATCTCCATTTAATCAGCTTGCAGATTTTTTTTTCTTCTGGTGAAATACTTAGCAAGTCTGAAACGCCTGAAGAATTTGCAAGAAAGGTGGTGACCAACTTGGAATATAAAACTATTGTTTCAATGAGAAAAGAATGAGATTAAAAATCAAAACTGAAACTTCCTAGATTAGACTTGAATGTATTAAAATGCCAAAATGAGTCTGTATGTATAGATAAAAAGTGTCTCATCTATTTATTCAGATACTAGTTATGGTATGTTTAAACAAATCAACTGGATTTGTTTGCCTTTGTGGAATACTAAAGTAAATTTGGTTTTACATTTCTCTAGAATAAAAAAATAAATGAAAATGTTTCTTACTAGTTTGTTTTAGGCCTGAAATTTGTGTAACGGTAACCCAATAGGTGGTGCCTATATTTCATATAATTAAAACATAATTTAGTTAAGCAGCACAGTAGACACAATCACTGATTAAAAATAGGAAGAAAAAATAGGAATTATTCAATGTGTATACTGAAAAATTAATTGCTCTTTGTTTCCTTTGGTAATTTTCTTCCACTGATAATATTTCATACTAGTTGTCCTATATAACATCTTCAATGGAATATCAGATGACAACAAAAAATATACCAATTTGCCCCCAGTTGTGGCCTTTAGCCTATTTTTTATGTTCCTCTCATGTAGTAGTTCATAAGTTGCCTTGTCCTTGTAATCAGTGAAAGTCTCAATTATGTTCAACATTTTTTTGTGAAAAAAATATTCTTCTGTGAAACAATAAAATAGATTTGTGTATGTATTAATAGAGTCCATATAAAATAAAATGGAAAACAAAAATATATTTCTGAAAAACACAGATGAATAATGGTAAAGAAAAAAAATGTGTTTTTTTTCTCATATTTTTATGGTTAAAAAAAATTAAAGGAAAAAAATGGAAACAGCCCCTTTCCTCCCCCCACCCCCCCAAATATAAAGCATTTTGGAGAAAATAGTAAGGCACTAAAATATAATCAACGAAAGTCTTAATTATGTTTATGATTATTTTGAGAAAACAATATTCTACTATGGATAAAAATGATTTCCATTTAGTATAAAAATGTTTATAGAAAATATAATGAAAACTGATAATATCTGTCTTACAATTATACATAAAGTGTAGAAAACAAAGAAACTAGATGCGTCATAAGAACTGAAGGCTCTTCCCTCTGATGACTGAGAACAGTTTTGCCTGTGAGGGAATATGAATTACCTTTTCATCACTGTAAACAAAACATCTAATAAGAACAATTTAGAGAAGGACATGTTTATTTTGGCTAACAATTTCATAGTTTCAGTCTCTGTTTGGCTTGCTCCATTGCTCTGTGCCCAAGATAATGAAGAAGGTAATGGCAGAAGGGCATGGTAAGGAATCATGTCTACCTCATGGAAATCAGAAAGCTGAGACAGAGAGAGCTCTGTTTGCCAGGGACAAAATATACACCCAAATTGCATATCCCCAGCATCTTGTCCTACTTCCTCCAGCTAAACAGTACTTGTGTCTGTAGTTAAAACCAAGTACAATAGTCCTTTCAAATTATTAATCCATTAAATGGATTAAGTCACTGATCAGGTTACAGTTCACATAATCTAATAATTTTGCTCTGTATATTTCTGCATTAACACATAAACTTTCAAGGGAATACTTCATATTCAAACCATAGGAGGGAAAATTTTAGCCAGAAGAGCAATAGCTAGGTTCCAAGAAAGCATGACTTAAGGATTTATTACTTGAAGAAATCTGAGGAGCAAAAACAATATTAGAACAGGAAAGAATATGGTTTGGTTGAAGTTCAGTTGACAAAGATGTTTAACTCTTTTTGCAAGACTTTAAACTAGAACCAAACTTACAAGGAAAGAATACTTTCTATACTTCTGAATATAGAAGAAAGTTTGAAGTGAAGCAAATACATTTCATCAGCTGATGAATTTCTAATGCTTCTCATGACTCTGTTTTCTAGATGACAAGTGTTTCGTGGTTCTGATGTAGTCCTAGATACTTAGTCTGAATATATCTAGAAAGTACAAAGTGATTTCACACTGAAAAAATCATTAGAATCTAAATGCATGAGAATGTCCAATGAAATAACTAGAAGTTTGTGTATTTGGCTTGGGTGAGAGAAGTAATCTAGGACCAGATTCATTCAGTCAAAAAAAGTATTTTTTATTCTGCTCTGTCACTTGTATGTGGTGTTGAATATATTCAGGAGTTCGTTAATTAATTCCTCTGACAGTGAAAATTTCATCAACTTTGGGGAAGAAAATCAATGTCTCAGCAATTTACACTATAATTGGGTTTTTAAATATACAGCTTTTTAAAAACTTAACATTAAAAAAACTGTTTTATTTCACACTATTGCAGGTACAGAGACATGTTCACTGAGAAAAGTATCTTAAAACTAGCTTTACTTGACATCGTTGGAATATTAAGTAAGTTTTAAAATCTATCCCTTACTTTGAAGTGTCATGTGAGAATCTTTCACCTGACATCTTGAGTTTTATATTGGGAGAAGTCAAAACTGTGCTGGTTATCAGGTTTTAACCAAAATATGATGCATAGGGATCACAGTTTAGTTTACCTTTAATTTTCACTGTTTTATTCTGCATTTAAAGTCAGAAGTCATATCATTGACCCACTGTTATTTCCTCTAAAGAAAGCTGTGTAAAGATTGTAGTTTTTAAATACATTTTATTAGGTCCATTCTTTATTGTGTTCATCTGTACACCTCCTAACATACTTTTCCAGTATATATTATAAGTGAAAAATTATTTAAAATGCTTTGTTTCTTGGAGACTAGCTTCTCAGAAACAATTAGAAATATTTTTGTCATATTTATAACACACATATGGTGCACATGCGCGCATGCACACACAAACACACATACACAAATACAAACACACACACACACACACACACACACACACACACTCTTCAACGGCAAGAAAGGATTCTATTTTTGCGTCAAATGAACATGAGAAGCAAACAGTATACAGCTACCACCCATTGTATGGTGTTGATGCTACATAAAATTCTATGATGCTATTTCACAGAAAGATTTTGCCAAGCACTTTTAGTGTTTTTTAATATATGCCATTAGCATTATATTTATTTTTATGAACTTCTTATATATTTTCTATAGAAATGAAACTTTTTAAAGTGCTAATTTTATTGATGAGGGACAAGGGGAAATATATTGGTAGGACAGTAGAATTCAATTTTATATATTCATCTTCTTAGTTCTAAGTTGCAATTTTTGCATTTGTTAAAGAATAATATATTTTCAGATTTACTTGATATTATACCAATAGAATCACATTCTGTAACAGGCCCAGAGATTTTTTTTCCTTTGTCTATGACGCTACGCTGAGTTTCAACATGTAACTTCCCATCTGTTACTTCACTGAAACAATTTTGAATCCTTTGAGTCATATTGGGAATTTAAAAGGGCAGCAGAAAACAATGCCACCAAATAAATAATGCATAAATGAGATAAAAATGGGTTGGCTTGGAAAATTGCACCCTACTCTCTGGTAATTGGTTAAGATGAAATGTACCAACACATGCAAAATGTGCATGAGAGAGAGAGAGAATAACTCATTATAATATGGCAAGGTTTTTGTGAAAATGGTAATAGTTATATACCCAATGTGTAAATTATATATGTTTTGGATTGAATAGAGTCTCTCTCAAATTCTTGTTTACCTGGAATGTTAAAAGGTGACCTTATTTGGAAATAGAATCTTGCCAAGTGCAATTAAGATGATGTCACACTGGTTTAGGGTGACTCTAAATTCAAAGACTGCAGTCTTTATGAGAGCATGTAAAGACTCAGAGGAGAGGGCCATGTGAAGACAGTGATGAGGTGATCAAGTGACATAGGCAGAATCCAAATAGCTTTGCAGGTGAAAATGACAAGACAATTTCAGATGAAGATTAAAAATGAGAAAAGAAAGACAACAAATGAAGGAATTGATGCCTAGCTGATCTTGTACAAGGAATGTGCAAGGGAAAGGAAATTCTTCATATGGAAGGCACTTTATGCCAAATGAGACTTGGAAAAATTATAAACATGAACAATGTGAAATATAAAACTAAAAGTAAAAGATTACCACTTTTTATCTAGCTTAATATTTAAAAATTGATTGCTTAAAACAAAAATCATAACATTGTATTTCGAGTGTTAAGATACACAACGAAGTAAACTATATGAAAATAAGTGCATGAACATGGAGACATTACATGAGACTATTCATTTCTACTGTTGAATTTATATATTTATATATCTCACAGATACATATATATGAACAAGTTACAGATGCATATGGTAATCATAGCCATAATCCATATGAAACAAAAATTACAAAGGGTTATAGTTAGCATTCCAGGAAAGAATTAAGATGAGCATGGTTTTTATCTAATTAACAAAAAGAAGATAAAGGAAAAATAATGAACAAAAACCCAGTAGTGTTAGAATAAAATTGAATTAGAGATCAGTACAAATAACTTACCTAGAAAACATTTTGGAATTTAAAAAGATCTCTAACACATGTTCAAGGAAGTCATCTGAGAAAATAAAATATATATTTTGATTTTTAATAAACAATAATAAATTTGTATATTATATCAAACTTCATGGGACACAATCAAAACTATGCTAAAATCAGCGTAAATTTGCATTTTATCTGCTAAAATTTGTAAGGAGAAAAAATATAGAATCAATTATCTAAGCTTTCACAATAGGAAACCATGGAAAAAGGAAAAACAGTAACCTAATGAAGGATGAAGAATATGATAAATCAAGAACCTAAAACAAAATATAAAATAGATGAAAAGTAGAGAAATTTTTTTAAAAATGCCATATTTTGTTTTATAAAGGTTAACAAAATTGATAAATCTTTGGTTAAACTAATTAAAGGAAAAAATACACATTGGTAATAATAGAAATGACAGGAGGAGAAATCATTGTAAATTCTGGAGGCATTTTTAATTTTTTTTTAATTTGCTTTAATTAGTCATACATACAGTAGAATGCATTTATGCACTTTGACATATCATCCATAGATGAGATAGAATTTTTGACTTTTCTGAGTGTAAATGTTGTAGAATCACATTGGTCATGTAGTCATAAATATACACAGAGTAATAATGTCTGTTTCATTCTACTATACTTTTTATCCCCACATCCCCTGCCTTCCCCTCCTTTCACTTCCCTCTACCTGATCTAAGATAACTCTATTTTTCTCTAGTGCACCCCCGCATTGAGAATTAATATCCGCTTATTAGAGAAAAGATTCGGCCTTTGGTTTTTTGGGATTGGCTTATTTTACTTAGCCTGATATTCTCCAGCTACATTTACTGTCAAATGCCATAATTTCATTCCTCTTTAAAGATGAGTAATAGTCCATGAATGAATATGAATGAATACATATATATGTATATATATAATATATATTATATATAATATATATTACCTTTTCTTTATGCATTCATCTATCAAAGGACACTTAGGTTGGTTCCATAGTTTAGCTGTTGTGAATTGAGCTGCTATAACATTGATGTGGCTTCATCATTGTAGTAAGCTGATTTTATGACCTTTGGATATAAATTGAGGAGTGGGATAGCTGGGTCAAATGGTGGCTCCATTTCAAGTTTTCTGAGAAATCACTGTACTGCTTTCCATAGTGGTTGCACCAATTTGCAATCCCACCAGCAATGTATGAGTATACCTTTTCCTCACATTCTGGTCCACATTTATTGTTACCTGTATTCTTGATGATTGCTGTTATGACTGGATTGAGATAAAATTTTAGAGTGGTTGTAATTTGCATTTCTCTATTTGCTAGAGATGTTTGTAAAGACAATAAATTCTATACTCCTAGAACTAGGTAGACCAAGGCGGGAGGATTGCAAGTTCAAGGACAGTTTGGCAATATAATCAGAACTTGTCTTAAAAAAAATAAAGTAATGTTTTAAATAACTTTATGTTAATCAAATTGACAACTTTGATAAAATTTAAAAATTGATTGAAATAAATACTAAAAATAGCTAAATCAAATATAAAGTCTAAATAATTATTATTTTAAAAGCTTAAATTTGTTATAAAATGTGTATAAAAAATCTAGGGACAGATTATTTAACCGGCAAATTTTATTTTAAATATTTAAGAAAGTGATGACATAAATCTCCAGAGGAATGGAAAGGCAGCAGAATACAACAGACATGAGTATGTCAATATGTAAATCAATGGAAGTGTAACTGATGTGATTCTGCAATCTGTATATGGGGTAAAAATGGGAGTTCATAACCCACTTGAATCAAAGTGTGAAATATGATATATCAAGAACTATGTAATGTTTTGAACAACCAACAATAAAAAAAATAAGAAAGTGATGACATAAATCTCATAGAAACTTTTCTTCAAAAAATTAAATAGAAACACCTGTCGATTGTTAAACATAACCCTGATAACATAACCTCACAAAAACATCACAGGGAAACATTAGAAGTGCTATCCCTTATGAACAGTGATGAAAAAATACTAGAAAATATTAGCAAAATATTAGAAATTAAAGTGCAAAAATATATTTTTTTCTAGAGATTCAAAAACAATGCTAGGCAAGGATTAATATAAATATGTAAAATTTGCTTAAGATTTGAATACCAGTCAATGTGATTCAGTTGGACATAGTGGCAAATGCCTGTAATCCCAACAGCTCAGAAGGCTGAGGCAGGAGGATTGGATTCAAACCCAGTCTCAGCAACTTAGTGATGCTCTAAGCAACTCAGTGAGACCCTGTCTCTAAATAAAAATTTTAAAAGGGCTGTGGGTGTTGCTCAATCTTTGGTACAAAAAAAATTCATGCAATTCATCACATTACCAGGAAAATGTATAAAACCATTTGACTATATAAATATATCAATAGCTGGAAGTAAGATCTTTGAAAACAATGCAGATCTCTTTCAAGAAAGACACTCTAAGAAAACTAGATTTATAAACATTCTTAAACTGATGTCAAAATATACTGTACTGTCATGTAGATCTAAAAAGAATTAAAAGAACCTGATAAGGGTATATGGAGAAACTTACACCTACATCATCTACATGTATCTACATCTTTGCCTATACAGGTTGTAGTAGCCTTTTTTCATATTATCCCTAAATTGGAAATAATTCAAGTAATTATCAACCAGAAAAATGATTGAATATTATTCAGCAGTATAAGAATGAACTATTGAAATAGGCAACCAATATAAACAAAGCTCAAAAACACTATGTTGAACATAAGAAAAAGAGGATAAATATTGTGATCACATATATATAAATTTCAAAATTATACAAAAGTAATCTCTTTTTTTTGGGGGGGGGATACAAGGGATTGAACTCCAGGACACTCAACCAGTGAGCCACATCCTCAGCCCTATTTTGTAT